TCATGGCGGTCAGTCGTCGCTTCACCTCCACCAGTTGGTTGTCCTTGTTTTCAAAGATGAGCCGCTTCGTGTCGAAGGCGTTCGAGACAAAGGGATTGGCGCCGCGGGTTTCCAGATTTTCGCTGGTCATGTTTGTTGCGTCAATCCGCAGGTAGTCGTCAGCGGCGGCGGCGGTAGCTTTTGCTCCACCAGGAGAGCCGCCGCCGCCACCAGTAGAGCCCATTCGACTTAGTTGCGTAGTCTTTCGGTAACTCTCCCTATCCTTCTTCTTCTCCTTCTTGCCGCCTTTTGTTGTGTTTTCATAGCCCATGGTTGCTGCCGAAACAGAAACAAAACGACGCTTTTCTTTAGCACAGGTAAATGATGACTAACCAAAGGTCTGCTAGAAAAGTCCGGTTTTACCTGCCGGCAAAAGTAGAACTATTTGCACAATGCTTAATAAATCAATACAACAAAAGGGGGTGCCTCTAATAAAATGAGTAAGAATTTAGAAACTTGTAAAGGCGTGCCTGGCACTAGGGGCGTGTCAAAGCTGGCAAAAAGGGGCGTCACTTGAAGGCGATCTTGGTCTTGCCACCGGTGAAGACGGGAATGTTCGATTTGCGAGGCATTCGAGTTTTCACAGCTGTTCGAGGCACAATGGGCGGCGCTCGAGTGGTGGTAGTGGTGGAAGTGCCCGCTGGGGCACCTTCCATCACCACTTTGGTGCTCACCTTACCACCACCACCACCACAGCTGATCAGCTCATTTCCAGCCAGTGTCTGGCATCTTCGGGTGAATCGAGGGCAAGTGCTCTGAACGACGGCCGGAGCCTTACTGGCGACAGGGGCAGCTTTAGCCGCCTTCACCATCGTCCGAGTGGTCATCGTCTTTGGGGGGACGAAACGGCGCTCCTTTGCCTGCTTGGCAGGCATCTTCACGGCAGTGGAAGTAGAGAAGACGCTCGAAACATTTGGCGGCGGCTGCTGCTGCTGTTTAACTTTTGGCTGAGGGAGCTGGGCGGTGGTGGTGGTGGCGGTGGTGGTTGTGACCCCCTTCATAGTGCGAGCCTTAAAACGAGTAAAGTACTGGCGCTTGATCTCGGGTGGAGGCAACTTGTTCTCCTTGCCCGCCATTTTAGAGACCACAGCAGCAGCCNATTTTAGAGACCACAGCAGCAGCTTTGCGAATGTCAATGCTCGTCTGGAGTTCCTGACCCTCCTTGCCGGATAACTCACGCAGTGGACGACGACGGCGGACAGTGTGAGTCTTACCTNTGCCCGCCATTTTAGAGACCACAGCAGCAGCCTTGCGAATGTCAATGCTCGTCTGGAGCTCCTGGCCCTCCTTGCCGGATAACTCACGCAGTGGACGACGACGGCGGACAGTGTGAGTCTTGCCTGCTGGTTTTTCCACCTCCTTAGGAAGAGCATCGGCATCTCCTTCGGCCATCTGCTCCAGATTGATGACCAGTTCTAGCTCGTCCAAGTTGGCCGACTGTCGGAACTTGAGGTTCTTGATGGACTGCTTCCAAAGGCTGCTGCCCTCCTGTCCCTGTTGCTTCAGCTTTTCCTTCAGCTTCTTTTCAAGGTAGTTTCGAACGTAGGGCGAGATGGCAATGGTCTCCTTGATCTGCTGCGTAATGTTGTTGTCGCTGTCCAGAAAGAAGCTGCTGCTGTTGTGGTGGTCGTCGTCAACGTTTTTCCTTGTTTCAGGCGTAGAAAAGCCTCCCACTTTGCCTTGCTTTCCCAGCGAGTTGACCTTTGCCGACTTGCTGTCAAGACTTGACTTGACGCTCTTTGTTTCCTTCTTGGCCAGAAATCTACGCTTGATGTGGCCATGATCGAGGTTGATGTGCTTGCACTTGCGACAGGTGCCCATTGGCTGCAGACTGCTGCTCGGTGTGCCAACCACCACCTGAGAGCCTGGCATGTTTGCTCCTCGCACCGACTGACGAATGTTGTACGTCACTCCCAGGTGGTAGTTGGGCTTGTAGTCCTTGCGGGGTGACTTGAACAGCGTCTTCTTCATCAGCATCATCTTCCCCGCGCCGCCCAGCTGAAAGGGGCGAAGAGGCACCGGTTCGCTTGAGGAGACGGGCGTCTCAAAGTTGTGGCTGTTGTCCACCACATCTGCATTCAGTGCTGCCTTCTTGCTGTTTCGACGAACGACACGAGTTTTACCATGCTTTGATGACATGATACTGTTTGAGAGTTCAAATCAAAATTTCCTACTGCCTATTTGATTCGACTACTAAAACTGTTTTATACGTTTTCTTGTTAAAAACTTCCGCAGTTTTTTTATTCAAAAATTCGAAAAGCATCCCTTGCAAAACCTCGTCAGTAAGGCCATCTGTCGGTGTTGGGTAGTTAAAAACTGGATGTAAACAACGGCGACGACGGCAACTTGGCTTTCTTGTCTTTCTAGTGAAGGTGTTGCAACGAGGATTATTGCCTTGGTTTTATCATCAGAAGCTGCATTTTATTGTCTCATCAGTCTTTATGAGCATCACCATTCAAATAGAAGCTATAACATTTTTTAAGCGATACACAGCGAAACAGACAAACAAACGCAAATTGACTTTAACTTATTGGATTCGTGTTCCCAAATTAAAAATTTTCATTCATTGCTTCATCACATTGAGCCCTTCCCACCGCAAAAATGCCGCTTATCATTGGCAAAACAGAGACACTCAGTCCCGACTACGACTTCACCTCTACTCGCCAGCTCTTTGCCGATTTCCCCGAGCTTAAGGTATTTAATTTTATACTTGATGATAAACTCGAATCATAATCACTTGATTACTTCCAGGAATCGACCAATTCTGTGTTCAACGCCGGGCCTGAATCAGCGCAAACATATGACAGTGAACGGGATCCAGTTCTGTATGTGATGCAAGGTGAAACGGCTATTGTTTCTCCTCGTGATGGTAAGCTTCACCTGTTCCCTATTTTTGAGGCTATCATTATTTATTAAAACTTCTTTACCATTTTTCAGACACTATTCAAATTGTGATGACCGACGACACGACCACCTGTATAACAGGAATCATCCGCCACTGCAACTCGGGAGTCACCTCGCTCACACACTTTGATCGCCCCCTAGATGACAATCTTCTGGTGGAGTCGCTGGAAGCAGCGCTCACTCGGATGATTTGCCTGGGAAACGGCGGGGACAGTAAATCAGCTGAAGCTGAACGTGATGAATCGGATGCAAAGTTCGACCTATATCTAATTGGCGGGTACTGTGATGAGAAGAGAATATCAGAGGACCTAGCCATCTACCTGATGAAGACATTCAACTCACTGGCCTCACGGTTCACCATTAATTTGGTGTGCGCCTTTACCGGTGAACTGAATACTCGCTCCATTACCATTAGCACTGGCATGATCGGCGA